CAGTTTCTTCACCTCAGTCGCACTAGTTCCGATCTTGTCTTCCATTTTTCATCACAAACTGGATTACCCAAAATTGTCGTGAACTGTACCATTAATACCACTATAGAGCTTTGATTTCTGTCCGGAAGAAAAACACTTTTGACTAGTTTCTGATCTGTTAACCTCTCAGCAAGCACTTGTCCTCGACTTAAGTTGATCTTCGTATGTTCTTTAGCCGTGGCTAAGGAGGAGGAACGGTGGGCGGCAATGATGTGTTGGGCGGTGAACGAGTCTCACACTCGTACTCTTCACCCTGGACCTCTCATCGACATTGATTAGCTCACTTGGCGTTGAATAAAATGAACCGCTTGGGTACCCCATCCTCTCTTGGGAATTCCGTGGTTATCTCAAAACTCTAACCGGAGAAAAAGTAGTCTTGGAGAACTGATTGACCTATGGTTTTGCGTACTTTTTTTCAGCTCAGATCCATCCTGACTCCAACCGATCCTAGCCCTAAATAAGCGCTTCTTCTCGTGTAGCCGTTGTTAGCATAATCCCTTTTTCCACGATTCCAGTTATGCCTTCCATCGTCCCCCGATAGTCCTGTATGCAGCGGATTTCTGCCGGCGATCTGGCACAGATAGTCGACGGCGATCGCCTTTTTCGGCATCCCATCTTTTTACTATGTGGTGGTGGCTAGTCGACGTTTTTCTTTTGATCGCTCTATGCTTTTTCTACACCTTCCGCTTTGCTGCTTCCATAGAATGTCATAAATACTCCTTTCAAATTCGTTGAGTCCTGTTCCTAATCTATAAGGATCAACCATTAGAGATCAACCGATAGACGTCGGGAATCTTTCTGATTTATGGCTCAAATCCCATAATTAAGCAAATCGAAGGCTCGACTTGTTGGAAATGTTCCGCCCACCTTAACAAGTCACACCCCCACGACATAGGACTCTAAGAATCATGAAATAGTAACGAAGTATTTTCAAGGTAGGACATCGCTAAGATCAAGAAACGCACTAAGATTCATTTTTAAGTATCTCCCAATTGAACCATAGAATACGTAAACAAATATCTCACCAATAATGCGCAAGAACTTCGAAAAATTAAATTTATTATTTCCATTGAGATGCGGAACCAACTTCGGATATCTCTTTTCTTCCCTTTTCTCTTCCCCTTTCTCTTTTCCTATAAATCACTTCATCAAATTCTTGACTTCTCTCCAATTTTGAATTCAAATAGATTTTAAGAGGTATTCTGCCTGCCCAATAGTTGATGATGCAATAACTGGTATTTTTACCTATTTACTTATTTATTCATTTTCTCTGATCGGGTCCTGATGGATTTCTTCGGACAAATGTTGTCCTTTTTCCAATTTTGTCGAACTAGTTAACTTCTGCGGTTTTCCTTTAATTGCTGCTGAAACTCTTTACTTGAACCATGTCAGTCATTGCTGAATTTATGCAATTTCTCCATTCTTGGGGCTCGCCGTTCTCTCTTTTCCTCAAATCATCTCCAAGGCCACGTTCGTGGTTTTGTGGTAAGGTTAGTGTCGAGAAAAACGTTGGGAAAACGACCACTTGACTACCGCATCTCGCAATTTTCGCCGTCCCGTCAAATTCAAGGTCACCTTATGCAATACTGTCCCCATGCATAGCTGATGAGGTATCGTGTAACTGCTTCGAAAGAACGGATCGTATGGATTTATGAGCTGAAGTGCCAGTCTGTGGAAATCTCCTTCGATCAGTGGCTTGATTCGGAATAGAGGTACTTCCGGAAAAGCATTTGGATAATACTGGACTGCATTTTCTGTCCCCGGAACTCCGGCTATCAATATCCCAACAAGTGGATCCCAAGTTTACTGTTTTTTCGATTTTTAACGTTTGAGGAGTTTTCCACGGGAGCCAACCCGAGAGTAACCTCCACGGAATTTTCTGAAAGCTTTCAAATCAGTCTGAGGTTAATATAGGGCCCAGCTAGCACCTAACTAACCTTCCTAAGCCATCATCTCTCGAGCTTGCGGGGTCTCTGAGGAAATAACGCCCTGATGTTCACATGGAAAGGTGAACTCCATGATCTCCCATCCAGGAAGCAGAATTCTCCATTCAACGAGCACTGAGTGCTCCTGACTCTGGAAGAGTAAAGCCTTGTCAATCATTTACTCGACCCATGCCCTTCCAGTGCTACTAAAAGTCACGGAGATGTTCAGGTTCTTGCAGTAAGTGACTCATAGATGGCATTGGGAGCCTGATCGAAGGTGTACCACTTAATTACGCCTATCGATGTGGTTGACTGATATAAATGTTTGCGCGGC